GCCGAGATGGAAAAATAGCACTTCAGGCAGCCTCGGGAGCAGGTCATATCGATATTGTTAAACTTTTGCTCGATAAAAAAGCCGAGGTTAACGCACTTCCAGTCTCCCACAATGGAAGAACAGCACTTCAGGCAGCCTCGGAAGCCGGTCATCTTGATATCGTGGATCGATTGCTACAGGCAGGGGCTCGAATCGACATGGAAGCGGGCGCGGGCAGAACGGCACGCCATCTAGCATACTATGCAAAGCATTCCCGTGTTGTGGAAAGATTGGATGCGGCAATTTCAATTTGAGAGCAAATAAATGACTGTGCGGTATCTCTTCAAGACTTCAAACTTACAATTAGCGTATTCTACTCAAGCCATTGTATATGCTTCACTCCAGGTAGTTTGGGTCTCACAAGTATCATGCATTTTATGATCGAAATAAATCCTACCATCCTTGGCCGCGTATATCGCATGGTTAACTGAATGTAAAACATATGAGGTGTGCCTCATCCTATAAGATGTTGATATTATATTAGGTAGGTACAAGGGCATTTTGAATTAATGACTGACGCTATATTCCGAGCTAGTGCGGTATTACCACGGCCTTTTCATCAACCACATTTGTTTTCGGAATTCATTGCGCTAGAAATTGGTCGATTGCGGTATAACCAAAATACCTGGAGATGCACAAGTAATTGACTCTGAAGATGACGCCTCCAGCTGCCTCAGAGCGTGCTCGTTAATACTGTAATTGCACGTCATCAGTGTGGTAAGAGTCACAGTGTATAGGCCCATCTTGTTGATAACCGACTACTGTTGTCTTGTCGATAGTGATTATGAGGTAGAGAGGTAGTTTCGCCGCCCATATATCCTTCAGTCGCCAATGGTGCGCAAGAAAGTCTGTGTCTGATACTCGAATGTTCTTCTATAGGTGCTTTGAATCTCAAAACCGTCGTTGGCGTTGATGTTGCTCCTAGCAGGTGGGGGCCGTATGCACAAGGTCGATGATCTGATCGACGGCCCAATTGTCCCCATGCAGCGCTTGGCTCCAGTATTGATCGACCTATGCCTCAGGCAAGTCTTACGGGTTACAAGCTGACGACCCTCTTTTCCCTTCGGAATTTGACGAGGGAAGAAATCGCATTTGTGTTTGCCAGAGTCGGTTTTTGATTCCATCAGGGTCCAGCTGTACATGTTCCGTCCTTTACAAGAACGCCTTATCTCGCCCTCTCCGCCCGCTTGTTGCAGGGTCTAGAAGGTGACAAGACCAAGAGTGCAAGACTAGTATCAAGTCCGTAATTCAAAGACATACAGCAATCATGCCTCGTCTCCAACTCCAAGAGATTGACCCGGCCACGGACTTTCCGGCACTGGCCAGATGCATGTTTGATTCCTACGAGGACCCGCTGCAGTCCTTTTTCTACGCCTATTTCCCCATTCACGGCGCCACGGACGCGGCGCGCGAAAAAGCCATCGCCGAGTGCGCCACCCGTCTGCACTCGTGGCACGCGGAGGATCCGACGAGCTACTGGCAAAAGATTGTCGACGCCGACAACGGCCGCATCGCCGGCGGCGCGCTCTGGAATATCCACGAGGAGAATCCCTTTGCCCACGAGCATCATGCCGAAGTCAGCTGGTTTCCTGATGATGGGTCGCGACGCTTTGCCGAGCAGGTTTCCGAGATTCACTCGGCACCGAGAGCTCGTGTAGGCCAGCGGCCGCAAGTCTGTGAGTATTTTTTTGGTCTTTCTTTTTTTAGAAATACATGATGATTGTCGTATGAATGCGTCTAGAGCTGATTTGATAATAATAGATCTATTTATCCTTTTTACGCACCCCGCCTACCGTCGCCAAGGAGTCGGTCAGCAATTCATGGACTGGGGAATGGCCAAGGCTGATCAGATGGGACTCGAGTTCTTCCTAGACGCAACTCCTACAGGCAAACCCCTCTACGATGCCAATGGATTTGTAGAAGTTGGAAAGAATGTCATTGCACCAAGCACCGATAGCCCAGATGATGCTTGGAAGGCGGCGGAAAAGAAGATTGGCCACTCGACCTGGTACCTCATGTGGAGACCGCCAGGCGGCAACTACGAAGAAGGAAAGACTGCCAAACCCTGGGAGAAGAACTAATCCTTTACTCTTTTACTGTCTAATCTGGATAGACGATATAGCATCGCACGGTGGCTCAGCAGCAAGACAAAGGACAAAGACAATGAACAGCCGACCAATATTCGGCTGACCCGTAGGACCGAAGATGGACAGTGGAAAGTTATGATCTGTATGTAGATATATACATTCTAGTGTACAAGAAACTGCCCAAACGATCTAATAACAGACATCCATCCCCGTGTCACCACGTCTACCTAGGTCTCTATTTTGGCTGTCCCTCCTTCAAGACAAAACCAAGGTTGTCACGATCATTGCTGACGATTCTTCCCCATTCTAGCAACAGTCTAAACAGGTATACCTCCATGTCTTCTCGCCTGATGGCTGTTTCGGCCCATTTGCGACCCTGCTCTGCAATCCACCGGGCGTCCTGAACGCTTCCTTCTAGGACCTGGTCGTGGCCGTTTATCTTGCCTTTGCCTTTGAGGCCCACAAAGTATGCGAGTGTGCTGTGTAGGCCGTGGTACCGTAGATCAATTGGTACAAAGTGCGTCCATGGCATCAGCCGTTCCGTAAACCACTCGCGGAAGATGGTAGAAATGAAGGGCACTCCATTGGATTGAAGTGCCGGCAACACGTCAGGCGACGGACCATCCGAAGTATCGAGAACCATAAAGTATCGGCTCGAATGGAGAGGGTCTTCAGTCTTTTGCTTGAAGCCAAAGTGCTCACGCTCAATAAGCTGGCAATTTGGGTTGTCGCACGTACCCGCAGCATTGATGTACGAGATATCCGTTGCGAATAGTTTATTGGCTGCACGAATCCCGACTTCGTCATAGGCATACTTCACATCCTTGCCCGATTTGAAGCCCAGGAGCATGGACTGCTTGTCAAATGCCGTGGCGTTGTTAATCAAGCGAACCAGTCGGTTACGATGTCCACCATGAAGCATATCATGGGTGATGGGCTGCGGTTGTGGTTCTTGCTGCCAAAAGAGATGATCCTTCTTCGAGTCAAAACGCGAATCATCATCAACTTTTTCGTTGCTATTTGGGCGAATCAATGGTAGGAGAATATCATTGAAACTGCTCGTCTTTGATCCGCTAAAGAGCGGTAGAAGTTCTTGGTAAAGGTCAGACTGATGTGGCAAAGTGTGAAAGTCGTGTAGATTGAATATATCGGGCTGGTGGCAGGGGTCCAGTGAATATTGCCAGTCTTGTAAAATATGCCCTTGCGAGTGAGCATCGGCGCAAGCTGCACAATGGTCGCGGACATTCCAAGTAATGCTGGCTCTAGTCTTGGACCCGGGTGGGCAAGCCAAAGCCTGGAGCCGGCGGAAGTCCTGGGCTGTGACATACTCTAGTGGTCTGCCAGTGGCCGAGTCTCTCGGTGTCTTGACATCCTCGACTAGGCGCTTGGACAGAGCCTGGGGTAGGACCTTTTCAAGTTTCGACTTTGGTCTTGCCCCCTTTTCCGCCAGGCGATGAATATCATCCCATGGCGCCAAGATTCGTGGTCTCTCTCTGAGATTTATAGCAATTTCCATCTCAGGTAGATGCTGAGAAAATGATGAGATCAAAGACACTAGTTCATCGAGGATAAGCTTTTGCGAAAGATCCGCCGGCAGGCTATGAGAGGCCTTGCCCGCGGCGATTGTAATGATGCCAACATCTGGCAAGGTTTTGACGGTTTCTAATCCTTCCTTGATCTTGGACGGCTTGAGTCCCCAAAAAGGTACAACGTCCGTCTCAATCTGGTCAAACTTGTCCATAATGACAGACTTTTTCTGGAGTGCAAAGTCGAACCACCTGTCAAAATTTGGCGGAGGATCGCGGCCGTGATGCCGCTCCTTGTACTCTGTGACAGCCGTGTGCAAGGTCGTGCTTACACTTGCATACCGCAGCCAGCGATCCGCCTCGACACGGTTCTTGTAGACGAGCTCGCCGACAGGATGCCGGTCAATGATTGGCGACTTGAGCATGGTGATGGTAGTTGCGATGATCAGCAGCGTGATCATGATGAGCAGAAGTAGGACTCTGGGAATATAGAGCACAGATCGCATGCCCCCTATGAATGTATAAAATGGAAAGGTTGTTGAAACAATGACAAGCACAATCAGCGGCAAGAATCGGGATGTTTGCTGGTATGTCCCAAACAATAAAATCTCCCGAAATGCAGCCGTAGCACCACAGATGAATGTAGTCGTCGCCGTCATGGACAAGGGTGCCGACTCACACATCCACAAAGTCGCGGAAACGACCGCCACTGCAAAGGCAATGCCATTAGTGAGAACATCAAAGATGAAAATCGTGTCAAGGCCCAAAAAAGATTGCCCCGTCGTAGTCGGTCGCGACAGGAGAAGACGCCCGAATACCCATAGCAGCCCAGCTGCGAGGGAGGAGGCAGTCATTATCCCGCTCAGTTTCTGCAATCGAAGTTTGGTTGTCTTTGTCCACGAAAGAATCCTCCAAAGTAGGACAAGTATCGTGGCGTCCAAGGTCACCCCCGCCCATTGCAGGAAGATGACCCAAGCCGTCTGATCCGATGCTGTTGAACAAAAATACGACGATCGAGGAGCAAAATCGGCACCCAAGAAGACGCCGTAGCTGAGGAGCAAAATGATGAAGGCGGAGGGCATTTGTGAAGCCTGTAGCCAGGCTATGATGTCGTCCCAAACGCTGCCCCAGGGATCCTCGGGCTCGTTGGGATCAACCACAGCAGCGGCCTTTCGGTTGAAGAAGAGGTCATATACGGCGAGTAGAAATGGTAAAAATGCCTATCAGTCTGTATTAGTACACACTGCCCCAAAGTATACGATTATGTACCCGCCTTACCTCGACGCCCTGCACCGTACATTGGAAATCATGTACGACTCTATACAGCATTTCCAGCCGAACCACGATCAAGAAAACAAGACATGGCGTATAATATCGCCGCGGCCTCTGTGGCAACGTCGGCTTCAGGCCCTTGAATACAGCGTCTGAGTCTGTAATTTGCATGATTCACTCATTAGAATCTGAAAACCACTGAAGCGAGCAGCGAGCATGACAACTCACCGAATCTTCCGTCTGTTCCCGGAAGGTGTTTGGAAACAAGACTCAGAGCAAAGGAAACTGCTCCCGATACAAGCAAGACTAGAAACGCTGAAAGTCGTGGTTGATCTGTAGGCTATCGTTTTAGCAAGCGGAATTCCCGAGGGAAATGAGCGAGACCTCATTGGGCGTGGTAAAAGGGCTTGATCAAAGAGGCTTACCTATAAGTGAATGTCTGTCTAACGAATGTAAGAGCCATAAAAATGATGCAACAAAACTAGTAGTTCAATTGTTGTCAATACTTTATTCTTTTCGTGATCATTTCATAACTGTTCTTGTTTGCCTTTGGCGAACCATCCAATCCACCAAAGAAACTGGACCCCACACACTAAAAGGCTGACCGTCCAGCGATGACGGGCCCCGATTCAGGGGTGGTCATGGTCGAGTAGTAAGCCAAGGCAGGTTGGGTAAGGCACGAAGCTCAATTGTGTAGGGGGGGACGTTCAAGAAAAAATGGCCTTGCCTCACTTACCAGACAGCAGCAAACTTGGAGCTCTCATCTCCAGCCATTGTCGGGCTTCTTGGCTTTGGCGCTCAAGGAAGTCGCCTCGGTGGAGTGATGAAAATGGATCGTGGAAAGTCAGACCGGAGCGTCTTCACGACATTGCAATTGAATGCAGGAATTACAAAATATACAACACGGCTCAGTCAGTACGTGGTTGGTATGTAGTGAAACTAAAAAGAAAAGTTGATGCTGCTGAGAAACTGCTGTTGCTGAGCAGATAGATCCTCCTTGACGTACGTGCCGCGTTCCGCCGTGGTTGGTAGTTTGGGGGTGGGTGTGGCGGTGCTGGCCAAAGCTAAAAAGGGTTCGTTCAATGGACGGACAGTGCGCAGGATCCGCGCTTCAGTGAGACGTCATGCTTTGAAACACTGTCTTGTATAAGACTAAAATGTGTCTGCATTACAAAACATTTCGCGCATTTTTTCAGCTGTACTTTCTATACATGTTCTAGTGTCATACAATCCCATTAATCGTGTCACCTTGGTCATCATATCTCGTCTACGGCATCATGCAAAGTTCTGAAAAGTAAAAACAAGAAAACAATCCAATCCCGAAACTCCCCTGACCAGTCCAAGCACTTTTCCTCGGATCAGTAACCACTTCGAGACTGCACCAACAACTCGTCATCATCGGCCGACTATACAAGACCACAACACCCAGCCCCTTAATGGTAATCATACTCGGCCCCCTCGCCACCGCGGTGATCTCGGTACTGACTGCCCTTTCCGCGTCCACTAAAGAGTCTCTTTAGGGTGCCTCCTCTCTTTGGAGTCACCGGCTCTGCCTCAATCCCAGCAGTGCCATTCTCAATCTCTGGCGATACGTCAGAAGCCACTGAAGCATCTTCTCCAAGGTATTCGTACTCCAATTTGGGTACGAGCAAGCGGTAGGGCACTGTAATGCCCGCAGGGTCTTTCGGGTTCACCTCGACGTTCAATTGTATGTCGAGCGCCCCTTTAACGTCGACCTGCCATCGCTCAACGTGCTTCAGTTGCTTGGTGCTCAAGCCGGTCGGAGTGCGACCGAGCGGCTTAGGTCTGAAGGGCTCATCAACGGCCCAACCGTCACCGCGCGGTGGTGCAGATGTCATAGGCTGTGTATAAGCACGATGCGGCACGCGGCTCGTAACCGTAAAGTATGAATCGTCACCAACACTATACTCAGCAGCCTCTCGAGCGCTGCCAGCCCCTCCACGTAAACCCATACGTGCAAGCTTATCACCACGTTCTCCATTGGGTCCTTCAAAGGCTGTAGGCTGCCTCCGCCGGGTTTGTGTAGGCGGCGGTGGCGTTGCGTCGTAGTAGTCCCCATCGCTTTCTGCCCCCCAGTCTCCATTGATGCCGCCATCATTTGGACGACGGCGGTCCGTTGAGGGACGACTAAATACACCATCCTTTGGACCAGCCGAGGCGCCCCGACCAAGAGATAATGTGCGAAGCAAGTTTCCGGGCCTTTTCTCTCCATTTGAAGTTGAGTTTTTGCGAGAAAGAGACCGGAAGAGTCCTCCCCCTCCACCAGAGAGTGGTGGCCGAGAGCGATCGACTTCATCTGGTACGTCGGGGCGATATGTTGGACCGCGGTTCTTTTTGGAGGAGAATCGCCGGAGCAGGCCACCACGATTTTCTGTCGGTTTTGCTTCAGGCATTGACTCGTACTCTTCTGGCGGCGGCGTAGGAGGAGGCGTTTCGCCAGGAACATAAGAACGAATCTGACACCAGTTTCTGTGTGGCAGAAGATGCTTATTGTTGCGAGGTTTGTTGTCAACACCAGTGGTGAAAATAGGTATCATGTTCTCGTCTGTTTCCTTATCGAAATGATGCACCTTATTCCGCTTATTCAAAACATCGGCCAACATATCTGGAGGTGGCGTGTTGACGATGGCAGATGAGATGACGTTTGGCATGTAGCGAAAGTCTTTGTGCTTGGGAATCTGGAGCTTTGGATTGGAGAAAAATTGCCCGATGGCTGCAAGATGCACATCGCCACTCAAGATTGTGATGCGAACGGATTTATCTGCTGCCAGGTCTTGAAGGTCTTCAATGATGAATCGGCGTTCGTCTTTGTGGTTCTTGGCTGTCCAGTGATCATCAAGATCATCGAGAATTTCAACACCACCATCGAAGCGATTGAGGAAGTTTCCTAGGAGCCCGGCCTTGCCCATGGCCTTGACGGGATCCATCAATCTTGAAGTCAAGCTGAGGAGAAGAAGATCAGAAAACGTGGGCAAATGGTATGGGAGGGGGGAAAACCCCCCAATTAGAAAACTCACATATTTTCGAGCCAAACCAGTCGTGGGTAGGCAATTGGAACTCCTAGCAGGACCAACAAGTGAGTCGTCTCGCCCTTGACGATCTCGGCATAACATCGATCCATGATTTTCTTCCATGTCTCCTCCCGAATTACCTCATCCCTCGCACGCTCAGTTCGCGCATCGACAGCCAGCAGAGCAAGTCCAGCACCAAGAGACACATACAGACTGCGGCTCAGCTCGTGAATGTAGGGACCAGGTTTGCAACCCAACACCCAGCTTGGTTCCGTCTCTTCACTTTCGCTCACGATGCTTTGCTGCTGGAACAGCATGTAGTACTTGAAAGCAACAGCCCCGAGGCCGGAGAAGACGGGTGTTTTCATGAAATGATCTGGATACGACCCAAAACCATCGATGATATCATGGTCATCGTACATGTTGACCATGGGTATCTGCGAGTTGGCTAGGCCAAACAGACCTTGGGAAAACCACATGCAATATCGCTCCAGATAGAAAGTTTCCAACTCTTCCTGTAGATCTTTGGTGAAAGGTGCATTGTGCTTGTGTAGAGGGTTCTTGATTTCCAGCCACTGCTGGAATATGCTGGTCTTTTTCATGACAGCATCATTGTAGATCTGATCGCCACCTCCAATCATGACATGGAAAGGCCGAGTCTGATGTGTGTTGAGCACATCTCGCCACATGGGATCAGGGCCGCTGAAGTCGTTAGAGTTGACGCTCAGACTGAAGCCATTGCAGCTGTGGAACATGACATTCATCGACTCGTTTCGGGATGGCACCCAAAATCCAATGGATGGGCCCCTGTTGATGCGATAGGCGATGCGCTGTTGTTTTTCGCGCAGCTCGATTTCGATGTTGAATCGCCAAAAGGTGCAGCCCTTTTCAGCGTGAAGACGGAAGCCACGAACATCTTTGTACTTGCCAAGTCTCTCTCCGTCCATGCTGGAGCGCATTGCACGGCTAGCAAACGATCCCGGGGCATTGGGATCGTTGTGGAAGTCGGGTGCTGTTCTCGTGCTCTCAAAGAGGCCACCATCACCTTCCATAGTGGACACATCTAGGCCTTCTTCGAGATGCTCGACCGGTCTCACATAAAGGGTCTCGCCTCGTCGACCGAGCTTGGGAATGCCCGCTATGGGGTCAACATACTCTGGGAGGAGTGCCTGCTCACCCTTCAACTCTGCCGGCGGCGGCGCCAGCAAGTCAATGGGTTGCACAAACATGCGCAGCGTCGGGGCTATCTCGTACGAACTCTCAGAGTCCTCGGTCACAATCATGATGGAACCTCTCCAGATTTGCTTATCTGACGAGACTCCGGCTCTGCTTCGTGCAGGTGATCTGTCCTGGCGCATGCCACAATACCTCAAAAGCGGACCGCATTTGAGATGCAAGGCCGGTTTGAATCTTGTCGGGCCCGAAGCGTCGGCATATTCGCCGTCGAATGCTTCAGCTTTGGGTGGTCGCGAAGACATACTACCACTCCGCCTTCCAGAGCCCTCCCACCAGGCTGTGTCTTTATCGTTGGGAGCATTTTCTGGCGTCTTGGGAACCTGCCCGTGAGTTTCGAGCAGCGCATCTGAGAGTAAACCGACAGTCGCCTTCTTCCACTCCTCCAGAAATTTGGGAGGTTGATAAGCGGTTTGACCGGGATGCGACTTGTCCCTATGAAAATACTCCCGAAAGTGATGGTGATAGCTTTCTTCCTCATCGTATTCTTCTTCATCAGGATCATCTGGTATCGGTCTCTGATCAGGAAACTGCACGGCCTTTGTGCGGTTGCCGTTTTCCCGAGGAAACTCTTGCTTCGGAGGGCGGGGTGGCGGTTGCCGTTTGGCACCCATGGACAGTGAACGGCCTAGGCCAATGGCTGCAGCAAAGCTTCTGGCTCGGCTTGGAGGCTCCTCGTAGTCTTCATATTCTTCATAATCAGGATCATGGACATCCACTGATGGTCTTGTGTATGCCCCTGGCTGCTGTGGCGTTTTCTTCAAGGTCCCACCTGTGGTTTTGGATCTTGAAATGCCAACTTCATCGAATGCGTCCGGCTCTTCATACTCGTTGTTACGGTTACGCACAGACGGAAATCGTTCCTCTGCTTCCATGCGTTTACTATACCAAGGGTCACCGGGTGGGTTCTTTCGAAGTTTATTGCTAGCGCTGCGGGTAATTCCTGGACCAGGGATGGCTGCAGTTATGGGAGACTCTACAGGTGAACCACGATCATTATCCTCTCTGTGTGGGACAACAGTTGGGTCATTCTTTGCAGCTCTCTCACGGAAGGTCATATTGCGTTGAGGCGGTGCAGCACCTCCTGGTGCAGACACATTTCGGCTTTTCGGAGCATGTACCTGGGCATATTGGGCCTGACCAAGAGAAACACTCCGTCTATGGTCGTCGACAACACGTTGTTCCGTGGGTGCACCCCTCTGGGCCGTAACAGCAGGCTGCTCCCATCGAAGGTCTGCCGCGCCCGGACGTTGATAATCGCCTTTTCCGACGGATTGCCTGCGTGCTCTGAAATGGACTTGTTGTTGTGCCGAGGGGCGTTCGCTGCTTTCTATGGTAGGAGAGTTTACGCCAGCTTCGGCCGCCGCTGTGGCTGCTTTCTGCCGCGCACGCTTTTCGGCAGCCTCTACGCGGGCACGTTTTTCTTCTTTGGTCAGACTGTCCAGCGTCAGCTCAAGTCTCTGTAGAGGTGACCAGTCATCTGCCCACTTTTGCCGTGATCCATCGGGATCCACTGAGTCTCTCCGGCGATGCGACGCCGTTCGATCGGGCCTATCTCCATTATGGGTCCGTCTCGAGGATCCAACCCTGGACGGTTCAGCGCCTATATCAGCCGAGGCGCGTCGTGCCCTTCTTGCTTCCAGGTCCTCTTCGAAAGTACGAGGAGTCCTTCGTGAGCCGGAGTTTTCTGCTTCCATGTCCGCAACAGCTTTGGCGAGAGCAACAGATCGGTGGGCCGACGTGGGCGGACCTGGCTTGCCCGAAGCGTCGAAAGTATATGGTGAGAGGGAGCCGTTGCCTCGCGGATCTTTGTAGCTGATTGGAGGCGCTCTAGGCACATCCGGCGCAGCAGGTGGCGTTGCGCGAGCAGACTCTGCAGAGAAATCTCCGTTCGTCCTCGTGCTCCGTCTCTTTGATTTGTCCGCCCAATCACGCGGGTATCTGTTTTGTCCGTAGGGAAGCGTGGGCGGTCGCGGCGTCAGGCCGTCGTCGGAGACTGTAGGAGATGCCAGTGGGCTAAAAGTCGAATCCTCGGTTGCCTGAGTCTGGACCGATTCGCGATTCAATTTCAGTTGCGATCGGGCAGTAGACGCAGGGTCGTCCAATGACGAGTTGCGGTCGTGAGCTCGACTATTATGATCACCTGATGAACGTCGACTCTGCGAAGGTAAGTGACCCCAGTAGGGTGTAGACACTGGGCCGGACATGGCGGGCAAGTGTCGGGCTCGCAGACGGTGCAAGCAGATGACTTATATGCTGAAGACGATGATTGGGCTTCAAGAGGCTGCAGGCTGGGATTGGCCAGTTAGCCGGCCTGCGGCATGGGCTTGCTGATGACGGCGAGATATTGGCTACTATTCTAGGTTGTGCGAAGTGCGATATTTGGCGGCTGGAAAGCTATATCTGCAGGCATTCCTCCATGCTCGACCAGTTCCTCACGAAGGGATCCTAGGTTCAAGGGCCGAGAGACTGACTAAACGCAACCGGGCACACTCTTGTACAAAAGAAGGAGAAGGAAAAGAAGAAGGAGAAAAGATGGCCGCGAGGTTATGATGACACTGCGCAGAGCGCAAATTGACGAGGTTGAACTTCGTCTTGAGCTGCACGTTTCCAAGGCCCGGCCAAAGAGCCAACAAGGACAGGGGAGCTGGTTGGTGGGTATCGCTATTAGTATACCCTGGTCTTGACGGGAAGTCGGGCGATGCGATTCGGTCAATGGTAGCGTCGGAGAGATTTCTAAGTGCGTACTGTAGCGCCCTTGGAGTAGCGGAGGGCTGGTTGCGAATAGAAAGCAGCAGATTGCTTTCACGACTCGACAAAAGACTCAGTCACTGCAGTGGACAAGTAAGTTATTCCTTTCAACTGAGTTCTGGTCTCATGCTCGAGTGTTTCGATTCTGCGACGTCCAAGTGCGACCGGGTCCAATAGGCAGGTGACGGAAGAAACCAATTGCCATGTGCCAGAAGAAAATCAATGGCGGCTCTTTTTGCTTGCTTTCTTGCTTACTTTGGGTACTTACTTGGATGATACAACCTGAGTCAAGGCCCAATGCAGGAAGGATCCTGGCAGATCACCGCCAAGAGATTGGTCGTGTGGAATAGCGGAGCGAGCTGAGAGGACGTTGCATGTGTAACTGTCAGGCATGTCAGGTAACCAGACGGAAAAAAAGAAAATTGGTGGCTGGTTAGCAAGCAATCATTGACTAGTCCCCTCTTTGCAACGAGGAATTAATGATGGGCGGTTATGATAGCGGCTCGGATCAGGGTCGCAGAGAGTAACAGAAAAGACTGTGGGAGAAGGGAAAAAAGCATCCAACCCGTTTGCTCCTTTCCGGCGCCTGCATCTTCATTCTACACTACACACTCACTGGTCATGGAATTCTGACCGAATCCCGTCCCTTTTGAGTCAGTATCCATCATGAGATTTCACTAGCTGCCACTCCAGTATTTAGTACGGGAAGAGCCGCAATCAGGTGTCCACATGCCATCGCCCATAGTCTAGAGTTTCTCTCAGTCTGGCTGATGTCATGAGCTAGACTACTATGCTGCCAATCCGAACGATTTCGACATGTATAAAATTTCTGTCCACTGGTTTTTTTCATACTAGTAATACACCAACAAGATAGGAAGGGATTCGTGGGCGTGGGGAAAAGGTGCTCAGCAGGTGGAGATCGACAGTCAGACAAGGCCCGAAGAATGAATTCCTTCATATCGTGAGCTATTCCCTTGTAATTAGCCACATATTAAGAAGAAGTTTTTTTTATTTATTTTTTGAACTGTCAGAATCCCGCCCAAAATATCCTTTCGTGGCCATGTTAGCAGAGACAGTAGCGCACGCCATTCAATGGCCATCAGCCTGAGCTGAGATCCTAGCGTCGATCATTAGAACTGTCAAGCCTGGACCTCGATCCCAGCATTCGATACAAGTCTCGAAGAAGAAGAAAGGCTCCTAGACCAAGAGTTAACATATTTCCTGCTTGAATATCATCCCGCGATGAATCAAACAAGTACAGTACCACACAGACAAGATCAAGAGGAAGTCGATTGATAGTGTGAGACAAGTGGGCCCATCAAAAGGCAAGTGCACGATTAGCTTGAGGTGTATTATAATAATGTGCACGGATTACTCGAGTATTGCTTTCAAACACTTGGTCTTGGCTAGAGATTTGCGAAACAAACTTCCGAGTGAGAGACATTTCTGGAGTCCGTCCCTGCCGTCCGTGTCTAACATGTATTCGGCAGCAGGACTGACTGATGGCCCCTTGTGAGTATGGGTTGTCCTGTCTCTCTTACTCGAAAGGGACGTGGATACATAACGCTTACCTCAGATTTGCAATGACATGGAGTTTGCGAGGTGTATGGAAGCAATCGGACCATTACATAAACAATGACCAGAATTCCATACAGTGTGTTCGAGAGCTTGGCAATCAATGCAATTGACTCGATTGTAGTTCCTAATTCTCATGTAGAATTTAACCGCTAACTTCATGTTATACAATACCTTTCGAGGCGAGTACACTTGCCATGTGTCTTAAATACTCTTTTGCTATTCTTGGAAACTGGCATCGCGGCCCTTGTCGCCACTGCAGGCCGAGAGAGCCACTTACCCTTACCTGCTAGACGGGGCTTAGCCGAAGTGTCCCATCAGTGCTAGCGCCTTTCAACGACCCTGAAACCAATCGTGGCCACCTGTTGCTTTGCTTTGCCTTGCCCATCTCCCCAATCCCATCACACCCATTTCATTGTCCTTGTGCCGGTCAAACGCAGCGACATACTGTGGCCTCTGATTCCATTGTACATCCAGCCCTTGTACAATATCTTGTTTGTTTATTTTTAATTCTTTAGCTCTGCATCTCTATCTCCTAATCGCTCGATTCACATCGCCATTCCGAACCGACCTAAGTCCCTGTATTGAGGTTTGAGCCTCTCTTGGCCTGCAGGAAAGGAAAGGGAAAGGGAAAGGGGACACGCAATTGCGCCTGGTGACCGCGCGGTCAGGTTAAACTTTTGCCTTGTGTGTCTTGCATACAGCCACTGCCTCTGCGGCAGAAAAAGTTCTTGCAACCCATTTCTACTTGCATCGACTGCGACAAAGAAAACCACACTCCTTTCCTAGCGCGCGTTGCCTCTCGAGTCCGTCGCCAACATGAAGCTGTCTGCACTGTTGGCATTGAGCGGCCTGGCTGGCATAGGCTCCGCATCAACCCTACAAACGAGAGATTTTGATTCGAATGATTACTACGTTCTGCACCTCGACCGGGCTGTCCAACCAGAGAACATCGCCTCGAGATTGGGACTTCGGCATGAAGGTCCGTTGGGCAATCTCGCAGATCACCACATCTTCTCTACGGCAAAACGCGACGATGATCTCGTCGAGAGCGCCATCAAAGAACGGAGGCGGAAAAGATCTCTTGTTGGCGACACTGACTACTTGGATCTGGTAAAATTCTCCCAGAAGCAGAGTTTGCACGCACCGCTTCAAAAGAGAATCCCGCCCCCAAAGCCTGCCGGATTCTATCCAGTCCTGCCTCGACAAAACGCCGATGCGAACGCTGTCATCAAGCAGCAGTCTGTTATGCAGCAGCTGGGAATATCCGACCCCATCTTCCACGAGCAATGGCACTTGTTCAACACGGTCCAGCTGGGCCATGATGTCAACGTTACCGATGTGTGGTTGTCAGGTGTCACTGGCAAGAATGCGACCGTGGCAATCGTCGACGACGGTCTGGACATGTACAGCAACGACTTGAAGCCCAATTACTATGCACAGGGTAGCTATGATTTCAATGACCAGACTGAAGAACCCAAACCGAGGCTGTCTGACGACAAACACGGAACCCGATGTGCTGGCGAAGTGTCTGCCGCAAAGAACGACGTCTGCGGTGTAGGTGTCGCCTACGACTCCAAGATTGCCGGTATCCGAATTCTTAGCAAAATGATCAGTGATGCCGACGAGGCTATTGCCATGAACTACGACTACCAGCACAACCAGATCTACTCTTGCTCTTGGGGGCCCCCCGATGATGGACGCACCATGGACGCACCTGGTGTTCTCATCAAGAGTGCCATGTTAAACGGTGTCCAAAATGGCCGTGGAGGACTCGGATCAATCTTCGTATTCGCTAGTGGCAACGGCGCTGCCAGTGAGGATAACTGCAACTTTGATGGGTACACCAACTCCATCTACAGCATTACCGTTGGTGCCTTGGACCGCAAGGGGGCGCACCCGTACTACTCTGAAAAGTGTTCTGCTCAGCTTGTGGTCACGTATAGCAGTGGAGGCGGCGACGCTATTCATACTACTGATGTAGGTGAGAATGCGTGCTACAACGGCCACGGTGGTACCTCAGCTGCGGCACCTCTGGCGGCTGGCATCTTCGCGCTTGCTCTCGAGGTCCGCAACGATCTTAGCTGGCGTGATATGCAGTACATTGCTATTGAAAGCGCTGTACCCATTGACCTTGACACGGAGGAGTGGCAAGACACGTCAATGGGCAAGAAGTTCAGCCACACATTTGGTTACGGCAAAGTCGACAGCTGGAAGCTTGTGGAAGTTGCAAAGACTTGGCAGAACGTCAAGCCCCAAGCTTGGTTCTTCTCCCCATGGATCCATATCAAGCAGGAAATTCCTCAGGGTAACACTGGCCTTACCTCAACGTTTGAAGTCACGGCCGACATGTTGAAGCAGGCCAACTTGGAAAATGTCGAGCATGTTACAGTTACCATGAACGTTGAGCACACCAACCGAGGTGATCTAAGTGTTGATCTTATCAGCCCGGATGGCGTGACCAGCCATATTGCGACTACTCGCAAATTTGATTCCAGCAAGGATGGGTATGATGACTGGACATTTATGAGTGTAGCACACTGGTAAGCCCGTCTTCCCCTCTTCAATATTTCAGTCTTTCCTTTTCCCCGCCCATACTAACAGAACCCAGGGGTGAGAAGGGCGTTGGCACGTGGACGATTATTATCCGGGACTCCAAGGTCGACTCCCACAAGGGAAAGTTCATCGACTGGCATCTGAAGCTCTGGGGTCAAACGATTGACGCCTCCAAAGCCAAGTTGCTCCCAATGCCCACTGAACAGGACGATGATGATCACGACAAGATCGTCACCACCACCATCCCTCCCGGAACAACCACTGTGCCCGCGGGTTCTGATCAGACTGGCACACCTGTGCATCCTACTGATCTTCCAGACGACCATCCTCACCGACCTCAGAAGCCTACCGGCACTGACGGCCAGCCGATAGAAACCGGTACAACCGAGGAAGAAGCAGCCGAGACTTCTGCAGCGAGCTCATGGGTTCCGTCCTTCTTGCCGACATTTGGTGCCTCTCCTCACACTCTGGCCTGGATCTACGGCTCACTTGGTCTCATTGGCCTGTTCGTCTGCGGTCTAGGTGCATGGTGGTGGATTGTGCGCCGCCGCCGCGCCAGCCCTCGCGATTCGTACGAGTTCGAACTCATTGATGGCGACGAGGGCGAAGGTCTGACGGGTGCGGGCGAGCCAAAGCGCAAGCGAGGTGGTGAGCTGTACGATGCCTTTGCCGGTGGCAGCGATGATGAGGATGATGACGCTGCTGCCGTCCACGGTGCTGTGCGGAGAAGCATTGACAGTGACGCCTCGGAAGAGGGCAATGAGAAGCAGAGCTCCAGGCTACTCGGCCGGTAGAAAAGGGAGCTGGGTCGAACTTGCCTCTCTCATGCGACATGCCACAGAATGAAGACTGTCCATATCTGAACCAACATCCACCATCATTGCCTGTTTAGAAAAAGATCATTGGACCGGCGTTTGGGGAATCGGGTATCAGAAATTAGCATTGAATCAAAATCGACATTTCCTCTTTTGCATATGTTCCGTGTAGCCTATGAAACAGACGTGAATGTAAGAATGATTAGTCAAGGTTGTGTAAATTGAAAATTTTCTCAAACGCGTACTTGGACATTGACAAACTGATCAACATGTTGGTCTCGTTACTTTTGGAATCATGGGTAAAAGGCTACATCCCACCACAAGTAGTGGGAACCAGATCCTCATTTGAATTAATATTTGATCGTGCTTGCAAGAATTCCATTCAAACCTTCCAACGCCCACTTCTGCCAAACCTGGCGGCGGGAAATTAAATCACAAACAAAGCCCACGACCCTGAGTTTTCTCGCTTATTACGATGGGCTCAGCTGCCCGTCCATCTCCTTGACGTATCGCTCCCAGATCTCAATTAGGCCGCCATAAAACTCGACGTGAGAATCAGCCAGGCCGCCAAACTGCTTCTTCATTTCGATCCTCTTGATACGCTCAAAGTCAACGACCTCCTTTACGACCTCCTCGTCAAACATTTCGCTGGTCTTCTTGGCACGCTCCGCCTCAGTTGTGAGTTCGTCGATACGAATTTCGAGCTTGCGCAGGCGCTCCCTCCGCGACGCCTCATGGTCGACGCCCCGCACATCCTCGATCTTGCTTCGAATAAAACCACCAGCACCTGAAGAGCCGTAGCCCGAGGCTAGTCCATCTCGCTCCAGAGTCGACTTGTTGAGATACTCTGTCAACTGCTCGTGATCCAGCTGCTTCTGTTCCCGTGCTTTCAAGAGATTCTTAAGTGCCATGCTGTAAGCGCTCATATCCCGCAAGCTGCCCAGGTAATCCTGGTCAGTATGGTCCTTCAGCCTCCTCAGTCCCGTACTGGCATCCTCCACGCTGGCGGCAAAGGCATGGACAGCGCTTTCAACGCCAGGCTCGAGGGTGATGAGCTTCTGGAACTGCTCGGCTAGATCTCGCATATCGGTCTCGAGATCGGCCTCTCGACGCACGACACGGGCGACGACCTTTTCAACGTGGCCCAGATCATCGTCGAGCTTATCAGCGCGCTCACGGACCTCAATAAAGCGCTTGTCGGCCTTGTGAACCTTGGTGAAGGCATTGATAAAGGTGTCAGCGAAGTTGTCGAATACGCCCCCGCTGCCAGGCTCGACATTAACGCTGCCTCGGGCGGAGCGGCTCTTCATGGTCGCATTCCAGTCTGGGCTTTCGAGAAAGGTGTGCAGGATGGGTGCCCGGCGCAAAATAGGATGTGCGCCTAGTCGTGTAAGGAATCTCTGCAGCGAAAAAGCCCGGCGATGTGTGAAGTCGGGACCGAATCGATCTCCGCGCACATATTCCATTCGTTGCTTGTCGGGCAGGGGCGGCACGGCACATGCTGGGTAGTCCTTGGACAAAGACTTGTACAGAAATACAAAATCGGTAAAGCGCCGGCGCGAAGTGAAGTGAGATTTCTGGAAGGACGGAAAGGTTGACTGTGATATCACAAGAGGCTGTTAGCAATTGCCCACCGAACGAGGGGTAAGTGAACAACCGTGAACAGGCACGACAGCCGTTCTTTCGGCGTCTTGCACCTGTGGATTCAGCATTATATAACTTACGTTAGTTGTGACAAGGTATGATACAAAGGCATCTTTTGTGCCATCGCTTTCCTTGCGCGGCTCTGTGACAGTGCAATTGAGGATGTCGCCGGACAAGCCGGGGTCTATCCTCTCTGGATCTTCCTCCATCTCTGGATGGTGTGCGCCGACTGGTTCAGAATCATCAAATACGGGATTCGATGAGCTAGAGGCAGTCAAATCGGCCGGATCGTGTCTGTCGCTATGCCACGAGACGTTGGAAAAGTTGTCATGTTGGTCGATGACGGCCATGGTGGGCTGGCTGTAGCGAGTCTGGGTTGGCTCACCCAACGACTGCGACAACTGGGCGGATGCTAGTTGAACAGTTGGCGATGATCATCCAAGTGTGCGTGTACCGTAGGGGTTTTTTGACGGGAATCTTGAAGAATTTCAGGTCGCCTTCGGGCCGGTATGAGGTGCGCAGAATGTCTTGCGTCTTTCGCCTTGTCTTGTCAGCTAAAGCGACGACGTAGGTGAGGTTGGTAGGGCGTCAATGGTGGGCAAGCTGCACTGTAGCTGCCGATCGGTAGTACAAATGTGGCGGGGGGATGGGGGGAAATGGGGAGCTGCGCGCTGCTGCATTTCGATGCTGCCTGCCTGATACCTGAGTCGAATCCCGCCCGCTATCAGGTCAATTGAGCTGCAAGGTCCAAGCTTGAAGCTATGACGATATTCACGACCAGGGTCTGCTTTTATTATGTTACAACTTGGCCAGCGATATCTCACAGAAGTCCATCTGTCTGATTCTGGCTCTTAACTATCTTATACAGCAGCTGGTTTTTCTTTTTCTTTTTTAATCAGGAACATCCAGCGTATCTTTTTCAGAAAGACATGCTAGTGTAAACCTGATGCGATTTTTTTTTTTTTTCTCATCTCAACATTTGTCGTAAGCTTGAACGACTTCGTCTCTATCTTCGACAAGTACATTTTCACCAAGCTATGAAGTACATCAGCAAGCTCAAAAGCCTACCAATTGATAGTGAATTGTTGTTATCCATGACTACAGCATTTATTTCGAGGATACTCACTCCCGGTAAAGCCTATCACTTATACATCCCACAAGCGCAACGTCCAATACTGCCACCATTGCGGCAAAGCTCCTGGAACATAACCCCCAGTATTGTAGCAATGCGTTGGACAGGTTGAAGTGACTTAGGCAAGCCATCCATCTTGCATATAACCACATCTACCTTTGGTTATGGCAACGGCATTCCTTGATTGTGTTTTATGCCGTACTGTTGCAAATGCTCTCACATTGAGGGTATACTCTTTCAAGTCAGGCATGAGCATTAATCATACTTACATGCTTACGCAACCTGTGATCATAGCTCCTCCGTCGAGTCCAAGAATCAGCGACCTTGAGGACAAAACAGTGTCCTATCCAGTGATGGTATATATCTCTCTGAATTTACTAAATTTGTGCATTCTTGTTTATATAAGTGGCCAACCTTGCTAGAAGCTTGTCTTGACAGGCGGGCCATGCGAGATATTTGTAGCCAAGAACCGCGCGCTGGGCAGAAAAAGAAAAGGTCTGGAGACTATTGCAGTCCAATAAACATATGATTATCTCCTTGCTAATTGAGAAAGAGGCCAAAAATAATCATGCAAACAGGCAAAAACAAATGTCGAATGCAGGGATCGAACCTGCGATCCTCTCCGAATCAATCGTGATAAGGTTGTAAAGGAGATGCCCTAACCACTAGGCCAATTCGACTTGTGAGTAGATCTGGATGATGACAAACCGGCTTGTGATACATTATGTTGATAGCTCCACATAAGCAATGGTTCTCCGAATGTGGAAGTGGTGAAGTTTGAGTAAGAAACTGGTAGGTGTCAAGACTGCAGCCATGCGTATTTTGTTAAAAGTACAGACTTGAAAGCTCTGGGCGAACCATGAAATTGTACGCCTCTAAGATATTCCAAACATAGATTTGACATGACTGGTGTGCCCATTCTAAATCGGTTGAAACCAAGACAATGAGTGCTAGTCAGTACAGTTGCGGCTTGGGTGCAATCGCCCACCAACTTGGCAAGTATCTTAATTTATAAATGACATTAGGAACTACATCAACATCTTCCTAAAATCTCATATATGAAATCTCAAAAATAAGAAATTGGTCGGATTTGAGTATTCGCCTGGTCCGATGAGCATTTGAATTGAAGCAACGTCTGCCAAGCTTGCATAGGCAGTTGAGAAAGTGACTAGCTTCACATGCTGCACTGGCTAGATAGGTGGAGCTCCATCTTCAACCAAAAAACACTAGGATTCAATCATGAGAGGCACAACCACCGCGACACTCTGGAGGCAAGGCAGAGCTCTATGTGAGCTACGTGGAATGTAGGCCGATCCAATTGAACCAACTGTATCGTGTCATTCCTAACCAAGTACATGTCTACAGCACGCAGAATGCAGTCCGCCCGACAAGCGCCGCCTTGAGGGCAGCGGCAAGCTCTTCTTCACAATCCTTCGCCGTCGCCGCCCCATTGCGACCATTCCACACGACGCCCTGCCGACTGAAGAAGGGCGGCAAGGGTAAACACGCCGAGGAACGCCAATCGGGCAAGGGCAGCAAGAGCAAGAGCAACGACGGCTCGTCCGCGGCCGCCCCGGCATCGACACCGTCCTCGTCGTCGGGCGGGAGCTCGCAGCACCCGACACCGAACCCAGAAGAGCCGCTCGACTTTGCCGACGTGCAGTCACGTCTCGCCAAGGCGTCCGAGGCGCCGGCCGAGGCGCTCAAGAAGCTCAAGAGCGGCGGGCGCTTCAACCCGGACCTGATTGGGTCGCTGCGGGTGCAGCCCGACAAGAAGGAAGCGGCCACGTACCCGCTGCGGGAGCTGGCGCAGGTGGTGCCCAAGGGCGGACGCACCATTTCGCTGCTGGTGCACGAGGAGGCGTCCATCAAGCCCATCATGAGCGCGATCCAGGCGTCGCGCGACTTCAACCAGCAGCCGCAGCGCGACCCCGACAATGAGCTCGAGCTCGTGCTCAAGATGGAGCTCGAGAGCCGCGAGGACGTGGCCCGCCGCGCCAAGGCCGTCTGCCACGAGTGGCGGGAAAAGGTCCGCCAGGTCCGTCAGAAGCGCGACAAGGTCCACGCCGCCTGGAAGAAGGACGGCCTCCTCCTGCCTGATGCCAAGCGCAAGGCGGACACGGAGCTCGACAAGGTCATCAAGGCCAAGGTTGCCGAGATCGATGCCGCCGAGAAGGAGGCATTGAAAGCTGCCGAGGGCAAATAAAAGTCCTCACGTGTGTAAATATGATCTCTTGTAACGAGTATGGGTCGGCATGGATCCGGTATGGCTTGAATTGACATGCAGCTGGTTGGCATTGAAGGAGGGGAAAAGGAAGGATCTCATAGGTTTGGGTTGTGTATTTCCGATGTACACTACTATAAACAGGTGTTGTTACAGCGCCGCATGATGCACAATATCGTCTTTCTCTATGAACTGGGACACTTTCCCATGTGAATGCCCTCAAGCACGTTTTGCCTGACCCTTGCCTTGTGCTTGGCCGCCCTTTGCCGGCCCTGATTGCGCAGCACCAGGTAGCAAGCTCTTGATTCTTGCCTCAATACTCCTCTCAGCGGCCGCATTCCACGTGCCGTGCCGCTTGACAAAACTCCTCACAGTACCAATTGTGTCCTTTAGCTCGGCATGTTTGGGTCCGTCATATTTACCCAAGATGGCGGCATCCAGAACGGCTGTCTGCGTCTCCTTGGGTACGCTTTGATATTTGGTCTTGCTAAAGTTGTTCACCCAAGCCTTTGCTCTCTCATTGGGGAAAAAGACACCGTTTCCTTGCTTGAGTTGCGACCAAGCGTCGGGAGGCGATGGCCATGCTTCGGGGTGATAACGGCGACCACCGCCCAGCACGACCGCCTGGGAAATGATCGTGGCCTCCTTGGCGAGCGGCGAGGGGCTCGACGCAATCGCGGGCGCGTAGCCGGCCAGCGAGGCCAGCAGGTCCTTGGGCCCCGTGGGCTGGTATGGTCTCTCAACACCGCACTCGACCGCTTCGTAATACTCAATAAGCTCAGGGTCCTCGGCCGTTCCAAAGGCCTTGAAGCGCTGGAACTCGTTCTCTTCTTGCATGGCGGCCGCGTCGGGTCGGTTTGATCGCTGTGGTCGGTCGTCCGGCCCTCCTCGGCGTCGTCCACGCCCGCGTCCGCGTCCGCCACCGCGGAACTGGCCATCTCCTCCTCCTGCTGCTCCTCCCCGACGAGCTGCAAAGTTCCCACCTCCCCGACTTGGAAAGGCACCTCCCCCTCGGCTTGGAAAGGCACCTCCCCCTCGGCTTGGAAAGGCACCGCCACCTCGGCCGCGGAATCCACCACGAATGATACCGCCCGGGCCGCCCGGGGCAGCGGCTCCAGGCAAGGGTTTGCTCAAGTCCTTGGCGTCTACTTTCTTGAAGCCGGTGAATCCAGTAGTCCGGGCGCCGCCAGCGGATCCGACACTAATGATCTTTGGGGAACTCCGGGGCGCCGGCGTCTTGGGTGTGGTCGGTGTGTTGTTTCTCTTGTCGTTCATGGACAGCAACTCGCTGCCAGCGGCGGCAGACCGCTGTCGGCTTGAGGAGCGCGCCCCATCGTTGTCTTCGGCGCAGCGTGCTTGAGCTGCAGAGAACATGCGCAGCGAGGCAGAGATGCCCTCGCTGAGGCGCGAAAGCTCTGGCCTGCCCCGGCCGAGGCCATTGTGTATCGAGTGCCGGATCATTGGGGGCTAATTGGGGTCGTTTGTTGACTGCTGACCGCTGGACACTGGCGATGAGAAGCTGCGGAATGGGAAATTTCGTGATAGTACTGGAAAATCGGTAGTGGAGCTATGTTAGCTCGGCGGCCCGTGCATTTCACATTTGAGGCCCCTTATAAACATACATTAGTATAGCTGCGTATAAGTCATTTACTTGTGAACTTTTATTTTCAATATTACAAATCCAGTTGAATCTCAAGATTAAAGAAGGTTTTATCATGAAGCGTTTGTTTCAATGGCAATGTACATAGTTTACGGTTTAACTACTTCCGCATTGGTACAACGGGACCTGAAAGCCGAATAAATCATCTTGCAGAGTTGTGTTGGTAAAGATTCAATTCAAATGTAATTCTTTCTTGCGCCATATATACCAGCATAAATCAAAATTTTCATAGCAATAAAATTGCACGCCAGGTATCAAATTCTCCAACTGTCACAGTCCTTTTCATCCTTGGTCATCTTGCAGCATCACACCATTGCTTTACGAGGATCCCTGCAGAGGCTTACCCATACCACCATATGTGATGGTCTTGATGTTTTGGTACTCCTCAATACCGTACTTGGATCCCTCGCGGCCGAATCCAGACTGCTTCACACCACCGAATGGCGAGGCAGTGTCGGAAATGAGGCCAGTGTTGACACCAACCATTCCAACCTCGAGGGCCTCTGCAACACGACCGATGCGTTCAATGTTGCTGGAGAAAAAGTATCCAGCCAAGCCAACCTCAGCAGCGTTGGCGAGCTCGACAACCTCGGCCTCAGTCTCGAATGGGAACAATCCGGCGACGGGGCCGAAAGTCTCCTCGGAAGCGATGGCCATCTCCTTGGTCATGCCGGTCATGACAGTGAGCTCATGGAAGTTGGCACCCAGGTCAGGCAGCTTCTGACCGCCCACAATAACCTGAGCACCCTTGCTTGTAGCATCCTTGATGTGTGACTCGACCTTTGACACGGCACGACCGTGAATCAAAGGACCATGTGTAATGCCCTCGTCGAAACCATTGCCAATCTTGAAGCCCTTAACCTTCTCGGCAAACTTTTGCGCGAACTCCTCGTAGACGCCCTTCTGAACGTAGATACGGTTGGCGCAAACACAAGTCTGACCCGACGAACGGAACTTGGAGGCAATGGCACCAGCAACAGCGGCTTCCACATCTGCATCATCAAAGACAATGAAAGGTGCGTTGCCACCGAGCTCCATGGACAGAATCTTAAGAGTTGACGAAGCCTGCTTCATCAGGATCTTGCCGACGCCAGTTGAGCCGGTAAAGGAGACCTTTTGAATAGTGGGGTGAGTGGTCAAAACTTCACCAACCTCGATGGTCTTGTCGAGTGCGGAAATGATGTTGACAACACCCTTGGGAATGCCAGCGCGGTGAGCCAGCTCGGCAATGGCCAAGGCCGTAAAGGGCGTCTCGCCAGGAGACTTGCACACCACGGTGCAACCAGCAGCCAGCGCAGGTCCAATCTTTCTTGTAATCATGGCAGCCGGGAAATTCCAGGGGGTGATCAGTCCGCAAACACCGACGGGCTCCTTAATGGTGACGACACGGTTGCCAGCGACAGAAGAGGGGATTGTGTCGCCGTATACTCTGGGGGCCTCTTCACTGAACCACTCAAAAAAGTTGGCGGCGTAGGTGACCTCGCCCTTGGCATCAGCAAAGGGCTTGCCGTTCTCCCATGTAATCAGAGTAGCAAGATCATCAGAGTTCTCAACCATTAGGTCGTACCACTTCCGGAGCATCTTGGATCGTTCGCGGCCAGTCGTCTTGCGGAATGTCTTGAAAGCCTCCGCAGCAGCGGCAATGGCAATCTCGGTATCCTTGCCATCAAACTCGGGGGTTGTGCCGACCAACTTTCCGGTAGAGGGATCATGGACCTCAAAGGTCTTGCCAGAGGCTGCCTTAACCCATTCTCCATTGACGTAACCGACGTCAGTCTTGAGGAGCGAAGGGTCCTTGAGCTGTCGGAGCGAGTACGTGTCAGTCAACCGAGGTTCTATCGTCGCAATTGCTTCGGCAATAGCATCTGCGATTGCGCTTCGGAGCACCGAAAGCTGGTAAACTTACCTTGGGAACTGGTGCCATGTTGGAGGCTAGTCTGGTGGACAAGAGCGGCAACGTGGTTTTCTGGAAGCTTGATTTGATGGGATACCTAGAGGCAGACCTTTGCAATGTTCGGAGCAAAGACGACATTATGAATGGGAAATCTTCTGCGCCAGGGACTTGGCGAGGAGAGTTATAAATTAATATGTAAAAGGTGGGCACATGAGATTAGCGGAGAGGGCGGCGCAATCGGTAGGTATCCGGCAAGCGAGTGGCAGACACAGTTTAATCGGAATTGTTCTCGCGACCTCTTGGTATCCCATTCGAGAGCTCCGCGGCCGTAGCTACAGCTGATGATGCACACTGGCGTCGGGCCTTAGCGGGCGGGAAACCTTACTATCTGATAGTGACGTCGGAGGATCACAGAAGGGTAGCCGAGGGGCAGCCCTCTGTAAAGCCCATCGGAGTGTGGGGTAAATTTCCTAATACGGCAAGTCCAAGCAGAGAGCACGCTGTAACTCTGGTGCCTCGGAGCCCAGAAGCCTTCACGAATACCCTCAGATCGGAGGAGTCATGCCAGCCCACTAAGGAGATTTTTTAGCTTGCCGTTGAGATAGGCACTCGGCTATATTACATAGTAGGTGGTATACGGTGAACCGTATTGGCCAGATCTGCGACCCAAGAATCAAAAGATAAGGATTAATGTGTTAGAAAAATAGAATCCAGGGACCAGCTTTAGTAGGTGCGTGGGCTAGAGCTCGAGCCTGGGTGGAACTTCCATGATTAACCTTTTGTAATCGTTAGCCGACTTCGGCTTATCATAGATGTTTGTTTTGCAATAGTAGTTATATGGAATGACTACTGCTCGACAAGCACTGCGATGCTTCGCATGCCCCTGCCTTTTAGGACGAGGCGTTGAAATCTATTTTCCCCCCGTGACACAGAAATTTGGTGTCAAAGATTCAAATTACAAAACAAAGGTGAATTCAAAGTACTTCGTACTGTTTGTCGAGAAAAAGAAGAAGAGTCAGCCTCGGCAGACACTTCAACCTGCAGATATGCCCCTCTCCAGGCTATTGTTGACGGAGGGCATACATGCGCTCACGGCCAAACCCTTGTGGTTGTAATTGACATGACAACAGAATAGTTCAAGGTTGCTGAGAGCTAGATATAGGTGAGTATCTCCCCACTCGTATTGATTGATATATTCGCTTACTAGTTTCAAGTGCCAATGTGATGACAATTATTGCCAGTATAGTGTGCATTCAAGCCTAGCCAAATGGTTTGGTGATTCGCAATCATGAGGCTGCGATGAGTCTAGACATCAACACCTGCTGGAGGGGTCGCCTATAGCCGTTGAGATCTCCCGGTCCAACCACCCCGTCTTGCTTGTGATGCCCAAGTATATCCAACAAGAGATGAGGAATGGCTTTAGCAACAGGGGGTTGAGTGCATGAACGGCACGAGCTCATGTGTTCCCCCGCTTGGATCCTATTGCCGAAACAATGCAGATCCTCGCACCTCCTCCTTCGGGTCAGTAGCTTCGATCCAGGGCCGCAATACCCATGACGGGGAGTTGCAGACTTTCTGGGGAGTCTGCAATGGGGATTGGCTATTATTGCCAACGAAACATGTGCGCGCCTATATTCTCCGTCCAGTCGTCATTGACCAAAGTATGCTATTGTATGGCATTGAGGAGTTGCCATAGGACAAGTGTTGTCCGGCACACCTTACCCTGTTGACATTAATACCCGCGTGAATCACTCACCATGTAAGCCTACTGCCGTGACTTTCCGCGAGGATAAATGCTGCAATACATTTTTTCCCTGATACTTTTTCCAGAGAATGTAAGCATTTCGAGACTGTCGGTCTTCTCACGCCACAATGCTCGTGATTACGGTGTTTTTGGCGTGTGCTGGAATCGCACTCGCCGACGTTCGCTCCCTATCATTAAACATCAAAGCTGAAGACATCACAACCGGCACGCCTCTAGACGGGTTTGTCAGCTATTCCATCGAGTTTTCTTCGTTTCCGGATTTCGCTGGTATGTGGTTCTCTAACGAGAGCCAGCTCAATGATGATACTCACGGGTCACAATACAGGCAGCTCAGCAGCACCGAATGAATTTTCAAATACGCTAATCAACAATATCGGTTACTATCAAGGATCAAACCCATATATACGAGTAGGAGGAAATACCCAGGATTTTGCCATCTATGACGAGAATGAGACACTTCCTCTCCGCGGCATTTACAATACCACGAGGTCGGCAGACTACCCTACCACCATCACTATAGGACCCTCTTTCTTCGACGCCTATAACGCTTGGCCAAAGGTCAAGCTCTCTCATGGCTTCAACTTGGGCGGAAACAATGATTCAAGAGTGCACGCAACTCTGAACCAGACTGTGCCACTGGCATGCAAGGCCTTGTCAAATGGCAATTTTTACCGCTTCGAGTATGGCAATGAGCCCGACCTATTTGTGGGTATTCCTACCGCTCAGGTCCGGCCGGCAAGCTATAATGAGTCCGACTATGTCAGCGAGTGGCTTCAAGGAACGCGCATCATCAATGAACTCGTTGAACAGAATTGTCCGGATCTTCTGGATAACGATACCTACGGTTTCCTTGCCCCATCGTTCGCTCGCACGGATAACCACTTAAAAGCGCCGCTCGCCTGGTCTGACGGCTTGGATGCAGATGCAGACATTACGTACTTCTCATCCCACAAGTAAGTAGAATCTTTCACCTTGAGATAGTTTCCGAGCTTTCCAATCTTACCATGAACATCTAGTTACATCAGCGGAGCCAACTCACTGGGCGTGACTTTGCAAGGGACCCTGATGAATCACACGCGAACCAAGCAAAGTGTCGATGCGCACGTGGCCGAGTACAACGCCATCAACCCGGGAAGCAACGTGCCGCACATTTTTGGTGAGACCAACTCGCTATACCAGCAAGGCCGGCCGGGTCTCTCCAACACGTTTGGCGCCGCGCTGTGGGCGACCGACTTTTTGCTCTACAGTGCCTCGGTCAACATCCAGCGAGTCCACCTGCACATGGGCACCAACTACCGGTACCAAGCGTGGCAACCACTAACGACCAACATCACCAGCATCGGCACCAAGGCGCCATACTATGGCAATGTCGCTGCCGCCGCCTTTCTCGGCAATCTCAATGTAGCGACGGTGCAGATTGCTGAGCTGGAAACGGGCGACGCCGGCGACGATGCCGAGGCGGCCTACCTGGCCTACGTCGACGGCGTCTTGCGCCGCGTCATGTTTATCAATCTGCGCGAGTACAATTACACGCTCAACGGCACGGGCGACCTCGCCTCGCCGAACCCGGAACCGCGCACCGTGCGCACCTACAGCCTGAGCGTCGGCAACCTGACCGCGGGCGCCGGCGTGCAGAGGCTTTCGGCCAACGGCAGTGATGCCATTACGGGCGTGACCTTTGACGGCTGGAGCTACAACTACGAGCTCGAGCGCGGCGCGCCCGTCCGGCTGGCCAACGTCACGGTCGGTGAGAGGTTGAATGTCACCGAGGATGGCGTGCTGTCGGTTGGAGTTGCGGATAGCGAGGCCGTCATTGTCACGTTGGACAGCTGAGTGAGTAGGCATGAGAATACATGAGAATAGTCAAAGAATAAAAAGAAAGTTGTGAAAAGCCACTATGCCGATCTCTGTTGATGTTTGAGTGATGGTCAATCCGGAGATTTCATTATCTCTTGAATCCTTTTTTCTTCTTCATTTCTGTACATGATGGGATACTCCCAGTCTAGCACTGACATATGTATAAGTGACATCCACCTATCATGTCTCGGCCGCTCCATGGATATACATGAGGGCCAGCCAACCCGACTATACCTGGCGATTCATGCTGGATCTTTGTGCGGCGGGTATATCGCAAATCGAAATGGTTATTATGAAAAATAAGTACAGTTATTGGTGTTCCACCCGTCAACTCGTGACATTTCGTGGCCTTGAACTGGCTTAGCCAATTCATACCCAGTCCGAGAATTTTGAGGCCTGGTTCCGATTATATCTTGTCTCGCTCAAGCGTACTGCTGTGACCTCAGAGGCAGTTTCCTGTCGAGAGTATTAAAAGCCATGGTGCGTGGCGTGTAGGGCACTGCCGCGCTCGGCGTCTGTGGGATGCCGTGCATCTCCCACTTGTCGTTGTTGCGTCTCAGACTAGAAGGCGAGTTGGACTCCTCATCCGAATCCACGTCCTTGCCCCTCTTGTCAGCCTCATTGGGTATCATGGTCCAGATGGTCAGACCAAGGTTGACAAGGTAGACAGCACTGTGCATTTCGATCATTAGCAAATTCATCCGAGATTGCGCTTTCGCGTCACGAGCTGCCCTGAAGCTAAACTTACAGGAAAATGACCGTCGCGGCATAAGTGCCCTTGGCCGTCCGGCAAGACTTTTGCACGCTCTGGTTCGCCGCCACGGTACACGGCTTGGCAATGTACCAGGCAATGGCGCTCGGGTGGTTTGAGTCGGCGTAGTCGGGTCCCATCTGGCCGTACACGCTGGTGGTGTAGAGCGCCGTGAGCGCGACGTTGATGAGGAGAGCGACCACCGGGTAGAACACGTGCATGATGATGGCAATCATCTTGGCAATCAGCATGAACAAGCTGAGGACGGAAATGGCCACATTGAAATTTGTAAGACTGCAAGAACGGTGTATCAGCCTTATATCATCCTTTTGCCTTTTTCTTCTGTATGGGCAAGTTCCCAGGACTTACGTTAATGACCACACGAAGGGGATGGTCGGTAGTGCCCGGTGATTTGCGTAGGCGTAGAGTATGATATTGGGACTCGAGTTGAAGCCGAGATCGTTCCCAGCCTGCCACAGCTGCGTGCGAAAGAGGTCTGGCTGCGCGAGACCGAAGAGTACCAACAGCGCAACGGTGCACGCCAGCTCTGGTATCATCATCCACCACAAGGCCTTGAGCGACCGCCACTCTCGGTGCAAGATCCTGTATCCCATATTGATGGTCTCGAAATGCGGCCCGCGAGGCTGGCCACCAGGATTTGACTAGGTTCGTGGGTCGTTATGGAAGCTCGCAGGATCAGAGAAAGGCTATGCTTCACCTGCTGGTATGTGTATCAGATCGAGTCGCTGTTTTTTCCGTCCAGCAGAATTTGTATATGCGAATCACATCGGATTGCTACACACAATTGGCGCGAACTCTTGGGGTTCTTGGTTGCCGGTATAGAATGCGACAAGCAAGCAAGCAGATACAAGTCACGATTTAATTCCACATGGTCCGATTTCACGAGAAAAAGGAAAGGGAATGAATGCTCAGCGAGAAGGGTCCGTCAGCCATAGTTTTTAAGAGACGATCCAACCAACACTGACCAAGCAGTCTCCCCGACCCGGGCGAGACGAGGGGAGGGTAGAGATGCATGCATTCAATCACACAAGAGTGGACAGCAAAATTGCGTTGCAATTGGAGGGTCACCAGGTGTGAAGGCCAATCGGCAGCGTCGTACATGCATGGGCTGTAAGCGCCCGGGAGGGGAGCCCAATTGTGAGTGGGCGCTTCCCGCCAGGACCCCAGATGCCATTGGGTTGGCGATCGCTGGGCAATTGGCCGCGCAACCAATCACACCGGCGATGCGCCTCGGGGAAAGAATTGCAAAAGATAGACACAGAGCTGCAAGAGCTGCAGAGATTGGAAAAGACGGCGACGGGGGTTCTGATTGGACTGTTGGCAACTCTTTTTGAACCCCATTCACCCCCATTTGGGGGCTGCTGCTGCTGCTTTGATCGACTCGGCGATGCAATCCCCAACCGCCGGACAGGACAGGGCTATCTTGCCATGATTTGCTTCACGCAGTCAATTTACCTCTCGATTTGGCGCACGCCAGAACGTTGTCGTACGACGTCAAACGATTGATGTGCAGCTCAGTCTCAATACATAGAGAAGTGCACATCTGAACTATACTTGTATACTTGCCTCTTTTTTGTAAGCCACTAAAGAGGCCCGCGATCGGTCACGTATCATGGCCGCATATCCGGCCTCGAGGAGGTCTCTGCACTTTGGCCCGTGGCATTTAGTGAAGGCTTGGCGCCCGAGATCTCGGGCCTGGCTGGCTCTCTGACCGAGTCCCGGGAGCTCACAAGACGGATGGTGCCTCAGATGGAGATCTCATCACGTACGGTCCAGCGTCAAGTCAGACGTGGAGGAGGCCCCGAGATGTAAGAGCCTAGCTGGTCAAACATTTCCTAAGCGTCGAGTGATGTGACGTGGCCCTGTGTCTGTAAGCGTGACCATTGCGACATTGTTGAACTTTTGCTCTCGGGGCCGGGCTTCTCCTCATGGTCGGCTAAGAAGCTGAAGCCAAACGGAGAGTTTTTCGATGTGAACTATTAGAGCGTATTTTATGCCACTATCTAGACCACTCTTTACGTGGTTTGGGAGTACGGAATATATGATCTGGATTTCAGCACTGACTTCTGGTATGACATGTTCGAAGAGGGCAAAGTGCCTGAAAGTAACATCCTGTAGTGGGATATGGCCAATCGAGCAATGTGCTCGAAAGAGTTTAATGAGGTACACGATGGATTGTGCTGTTGGTGGGAAGAAGGAAAGATCTGCTTTCCGACTATAAAACGCCACCATTTGCCGGGAACTTGAGCGCACTCGTTGTTCACTGGATGCATCCAAGTGCACACACTACAGGTCGCTAGCCGACCCGGTGGTTTTGAGCTGACCACCACCACGGATCTTAGCTTGTGCCTAGACCGTGTCAATCTCACTTGGCGGGTAGGACATGCCACTCTAAACATAGAAATTCGATGTGAACAAATCAGTCTGTTTGGGCCTTTTTGTTCTTGCTCTGCTAGGACTGCGCTGAATCTAAAATATGCCCAGAGATGAACATCTTCGCGTCCCTACCTAATCTGCTCACCTCGATGTTGGGTAGGTTGATTGTTTCGTCCGGCTAACGCAAACATGTCATCTCCTGAATGTTTGAGGTTGAAACCAGACATTTGTATAAATCGCACGACTTTTGAGGAACGTGGCATGGCAGAATGACCCTTTGACAACCTAAATGCACAGGAGGGAGGCTTGCAAACCGTTATGTGTAAATTATCAGATCACGTACCTTGTTGTGCAGCAAGATGACCAGTCATTATGATATTCAAACTCAACATATGTACGTAGACCGGTCCGTCATAATAAGTCCGTGGCTATGTGCAAGAAGGAGAAAAAGCAAACTTACTCTCCCACAAGTTTCGGCTGTCATGGCCCTCTCCCGAATGTACTTTTTTTTTCTTTCTGTACGACTGAAACATATACCCAACCTGGGTAAGTACGCAGAATGGGAGAAATTGATCGACGAGCAAGAGTCAGTTAGCTGGAACGGGGCGAACTGACTACGGCGATTCTTCCGACGAGGCTGTCCTGAGAGCGTCCAAAGCAGCGGGTTTCCATTCGGACAAGTGGCATTGGACCTAGTAATATATACATTGACTCTAGGCTTTTTAAACGTCATGCCATCTTGCGTAACACGCGAGGCTGTCAGAAGAGGAATTGACACTGCCGGGCGCGGTATCGTGGGCTTGTGCTTAGTGATGGCCCTTTT